ACGTGTTCCCCTGGCAGCACCAGCAGCTGCCAGCCTACCAGCTGTCACAGCATGCCTTCGGTGGGTTCCTGAAACCCAGTAACCTGACCCATTTCTCCTCTGCGGAGAGAGTGTAATGCTGGATGCCAGGCTGGGAAGCAGGATCCGGGAGGCTCACCTGCATGAGACTGGCTCTCTGTGCCGTCCGAGGCAGTTTGCTTGGGTTCTTCCAGTTCCCAAAATCACAGATCTAAACTAAGCGCAGAGAAGGCAGGAGAAGGATATTGCGACATTGTTTTCTGCTCACGTATAATCTCCTTCCTCCCTCCTACTTAATTTTAGCTCCTTTTTCTGCCTATCTCCGCCTCGTTCCTCCCAATGCTGGCCCTGGGTGTTCTGGCTCTGGGTCCAACCCAATGGGAATTGACCCTAAAGCAGCTGTCAGATGGTCATAATCGGTCCATCAACAAGCATGCTGTACAAAGTCCTGTGCTTGTTACAGGATCGGGGGGAATCCAGCCCACGAGGAGCTTCTAAACTAGGCTGGAGAGCGGATCACGGGAATAATGTCAGGCAGTCTGGGAGTAACACCGTGGGAATGATCTAATCACCCTGGGATCCAAGGATGGACTTCGAGGGGATCGCAAACACCCCAGAATTGCTTACATAATTTTATGTGTGCAAACACACATTTTGGGGAGTAAGTTCATAGCTCTCATCAGCTTTGCCCTAAAGGTAAAGAACCTTTCGTACTATCAGACTCTCTGAAGGAGCGCGCATCATAACTGGGATAGTCTCTCCAGGTTTCACGGGGTGGGAGGCAGCCCTTGGAGGCGAGGATTCTCAGGCGGCATCGGGGAGACTGTTCCACGTAGAACCGGGGACCTTAAGATACCTCGGCTCTCCCAGCCTCAGTAAAATGGAAATCTGGGAAATGGTGATAATCGCAGCTTCCCAGAGTTCCTGAAGGACCGTGAGGGTTTTGTTTTTTTTTTTCTTTTTTTGGCTCCCTTTGTGTCCCCATCCCTCCGTACAGTGCTTGACTCATATCATAGTGGACACTAATCAATATTTGATGAGTGTGCGAGTTAACTGAAATAATAAACGTGAGAGGGCTTTTTAAACAGCAGAGCGCGGCTTCGGCAAAAGATCTTTGTCTCTAAGTACGTGTATTTTGTGCTTTGCAAACAGCCTGCATTAAGTGTCCTCTCCCCTTGAAACTGACCCTTTCCCCCGTAATGGGACTCAAAGGGCCAGCCCATCTGATGGAGTGTCTCTGGGCTGGCCAGATGAATGATAGCTGTGCCGACAACGCTGACAAGACATGCAGTTGCCTAAGAGCCCAGAGGTGACCTCACCCTCCGAGGGCCTGGCCTCTTAACCCCAGCGCCTGCTGACACACACACACCTGCAGCCCTTCTCTTCAGGACTGGCAGACTCCACACTGGCCCGGCCGGGGTGGAAGGCAAGGCAAGGAAGGGGGCGACCCACAGCCTCTGCTGGGACTCCTAGCACGTAAGCAGGACCACTGAGTGTATCCTCCGAGACAGGATGGTAGCAACGATTGAATGCTCCCTTGCGGAACGCTTTTTGTATCGCCGGCCTCCCACCCACACCTTCCTATCGGCGCTCACGCTAAGAGAGAACAGACCTTCATCAGTGTTTGTCTCCCGTGAGCTATCCAGTAGACAGAAGGACTCACCACGTGGGCATGATCCTCCGAGGAACCTGCGCTGGCTGGAAGGGGGAAGGGTGTTTAACAGGCTTTGGTTGAAGGGGACCAGAGTCCTCAGAACAGGTTAGGAAGGACAGAGGCGCTTTCCCCATCCAACAGTTCTCCCTGCGGGTGCAGCTAAGGGAAGCAGAGCCGGTGGAATGAGCTCCAGGCCGAGAATGAGGAGCCTGTGTCCCAGTCTGCCACATGGAGACTCCAAGCCTGCCACCCAACCACTCTGAGCTTCCGAAACCGGGGCAGTACTTGGATTACTTTGCAGGGTCATTGTGATCGTGCAGATGTCTGGTGATGCTTCAAGTGGCATAACGTCAGACACACCTGTCATGATTCACTTACATGTGAGGTCACTCAGGACGTGCAGAGCCTCACCATGTACCAGGTACGCTTACATTCACCTCATGCAATCCTCACAACGGCCCTACAGGATTGTATGGTTTTCCCATTTTTACGGGTGAGGAATCAGAGGCTCAGGAGGGTAGAGCTTGGCCAGAGCCACACAGCTGCTATGTGTTAGAGCCTGTACTTAGGTCCAGCCCCATTTCCACTCTCCACTAACTCGTGATTTTCTCCTGCATATACATACCGTTGCTTTGTCTCATGAAATTATTGCAGACTCCTCCGGCCTTCACCACCTGTCATGGACCAGGCCCACCCTCTCACCTGAACCCTTCTTGATAGAACATCTCGCTGGAATTTTTCGTTTGCTTACTGATTGGGCCTCTGATGTTCCCCTTGGCCCCGCCGTCAGCTCACCTGCCCTGACCTCTCAGCAGCACTGACTGAGCACCTTCCTGGGAGCAGGCACCCTGCTCTTGTGAATCGAGGCAAAAAAGGCCATCCCCTTCCCATCCCCGGGCTCCGGGACATCTCTGTCCATGTGAAAGCCGCCCCTCAGCCCTGACTGCGCGGGGAGGAGGAGCGCCCACGTTTTATTGTTAATCCTCTCTTTTGGAAATCACTCGGCGTAGATTTCCCAGGCAGACTCTTCAGAGAAACAATGATGCTACGGACCTTGAACTTGTCAACTGAGAGTGGAGCAGCGGTGGGGAGCCCAGACTCCCGGCGGGGACCTTCCTTAATCTCTCCCCTCCTTGGAGACAGAGAGTTATTAGTTCCACTTCAGAGATGGAAAAAGGAGATAGAGGGACTCGCCTAACACCACTTAGGGAGTGGATCATAGAATCAAAAACCTGTGTCATCAGTTCCTGTGTGTCCTTGGGGACTGGGCTCCCCTGGGTTGTTGCTAGTGCTGGCTGAGCGGTGGCTCTGGGCTGGGCACTGCCGGCCTGTGACTCCTGCACAGGGCGGGCCCTTGGAGGGCTGACACTCAGAGCACCCCACTCCCACTGCCCAGCGCCTCCCTCCCTCCCAGACCCACGTCCTGACCGTACTTGATGGACAGAGAAGGTGATACAGGGCAACTCCCCACTTCCATGTCCTACCTGAGAAGCCGGTCCCCAGCAACCCGCTCCCAAGGTGGGCTTCTTCTTGGGGAGACAAACAGATCCTGCCAATTCTCCCAGCCCCAAGCGTCTCCCCTACAATTAGGTAAGAGATAAATCAAAGCCCAACTTGGCTGATGACATTCAGGAGCCAGTGATGACCCTTGCCACACATATAAATCCCAGCGGGCTGGCCGCGGGCCTTTGTCTGGTCAGGAGAGCTCGGGATTATCTGGCCTCTTTGCTGATGTATGGAGTCGCTGGCTGTCGGAGTGTTTACTAACGGTTATCACCTCAATGCTGCGGCCATTATCAGAGGCAGGGCCGCCTGCCGGGGCTGGGGCTCGCACCCTCTCTATTACCACCTGTCATTGGCAGAGAGTGTGCGCTGACACTGCCCAGTCCTGACTGCCGAGGGGAGATAGTTTGTGACGGCTGATCAAAGAGTAGAAGCAAGGCCTGATAAAGAGTGTGTGTTGCGTGTACTTTTAACTCGGGGAAACATTGGCATTTGCATTTTCCCCCCATCTTCCTGGTGCTGGCAGGAACCGAGCCCAATAAATGCAGTGGATTCGGTTACCTAATCGCTGGGGAAATGGTATGTGCTTAAAGCAACAGAGCATGACTGTAATCTCTTTCCAAGAGAGAGTGGATGAAATAAGCTTTCACAGAAGACTTGCTGTATAATAAAGTAGAATAATTTAAATGGAGGCTTTGAAGTGAGCTTGCGTGTAAAATCTAACCTTGGCATTCGGCAGAGCACGGTGTACGTTCTGGAATTTGGGAGCAGCTTCGGATTAAGGGAAGATATTTGCCGAAGATGCTATCACCCAGCTCTTGCTGGCATCCCCCGAATAGGGCCCCGGCTGTGCACAGGCCCTTGGGCGGCTGGGATGCTACAGCCGTGGAGCAGAATGAGTTCTACATCCATCAAGTATCAGGGATCTTTCTTTTATTGTTTTTTTTCAATTACAGTTTACAGTCGATATTATTTTGTATTATTTTCAGGTGTACAGCATAGTGCTTAGACAGTCATATGTGTTGCAAAGTGTCCCCTCCCCATATTTCCAGTACCCACCTGGCACCTTACATAGTTATTACATTGTAACAACAGAGATCTGAGTTCTTGAACCAAGTCAGCCTCAAACGTGCAGTTGGGTTTGGGGCCATAAGGTCTCTGAAGTTCAAATGTAAAGTGAGAGTTGTGGTATAGGTTATAGGATATAGTAGCTTAGAAAGTTTTTTCTTTTTTTTTAGTTTAAGCTTTATAACCCTCGTTTTAAGTGAATTTTAAGGGTAAGCTATATTGTGTCAGAGAAAAGTAGCGATGTCTTGGTTGAACCTGGGAAGGAAGTTCCCTGCCCTTGACCTAGTTCCTGAGCAGTCCCTGGAGACTTCAGAGAGAAACAGTTGAAAAACGCACTCACCCAACAGCATGGAGGTCATTTCCTGGAGGTGTACACTCTCTGATCCAGGGGCAGAGCTGTTTCTTTCTGCCCTGCACATTTGTGTGTGCGTGTGTGTGTGTGTGTGTGTTTTTTAATAGATTTTGAGAGAGAAAGAAACATCAATTTATTGTTCCACTTATTTATGCATTCGTCGGTTGATTCTGTATGTGTCCTGACCTGGGATCGAACTCGCAACCTTGGCATATGGGGACGACGCTCTAACCAACTAAGCTGCCCAGGCAGGGCCCACATTCATGGTTTGTAGTGTCCTCTCCTTCATCCGTCCTATAGGAGAGCTACAGAGGCCCCTGGACAAGTGGGAAGTTGGTGGTGGGTAGACAAAAAGAATGGCCTCTGACAGCGTGGACTCAGTGTGCGGTGTCCCCTGTGCTGCAGGTACCTTCGACCGGAGCGTCACCCTGCTGGAGGTGTGCGGGAGCTGGCCTGAGGGCTTCGGGCTGCGGCACATGTCCTCCATGGAGCACACCGAGGAGGGCCTGCGGGAGCGGCTGGCTGACGCCATGGCCGAGTCGCCCAGCCGGGACGTCGTGGGATCCGGAACAGGTAACGTGGCATCACACTTCCAGCCTGACTTGGTCACGACTGGCACCTGCTGGTGTGGAGCTTCTTTGGCGGGAGAGGGTGTACGTTTGTTTTAACCATTTATTTCTTTAGTTAGCACTCTGATTGCCGTCTGCTGTGGATGCTTCCAGTAATGGGAAACCCTGTGTAAAGGGGAGCTCCCCTGGAACTGACTCCTCCTAGGTGGAATAATGCATACAAAAAATGTTATAATAAACACAGCTGTAGTCTGTTAGTGGCTCCCAGAAGGATGCCTTCTCCAGGGGAAGGGACCTCCTTGGAACCTCTAAGGTTTTCAGCAACCCTTAGGCACCGAGTGCTAAGGCAACACGCCTGCTTCTGCCGTGCTGGTGCCTTACAGATGGGCAGGGGTCAGTGGGGCCTGGCACCTGGGGGGGGACGTGCATGACGCAGGTAGGGATGGCTTGAGCCCGCCAGCAGCCTTCTCCTCTGCTGCCTTTCACCTTGTCTTGCCTCTGAGAGGGCCCAGCAACTGGGGCCTGGGGTGGCTTCTTGCATCCACAGAGCAGTCAGAAGACATCCTTAGGTGATGGGTGAGCCCTGCCCCAGTGAGCAGGTGTACACATGCACACACACACATGCACACACACACAGAGCATGTACTTAGGAAAGACCTGCTCTCTTTTTTCCAAAGCACCTCCACTGTAGAAATCTGTGCTGTTTGTGACTGCTCTATGCCCAAGGAAGACTGCCCCACAGGCTCTTCCCAAGCTTCCTGAGGTCAGCGGGAACTCGTACTGGGTCTAGCGGATCCTGGCTGCAGGCCCTCCCGCTCTTGCTTGCGTTTACTGTGAAGTGCCCCTTCCCTGCTCCACGTGCCCACCTGGAAAGGGGATCCCAGAGAAGAGCAACTTACAACCCTGGGGCAGGAGTCAGGACCAGCTAGATGTAGAGAGTCCAAGCATTTGGGGCAGGGCTTGAAATGCCTGATGTTATCACACAGTCTCATTTCCCAGCGGATCCTCTGGGTCTTTTGGATATTGGGGTTCAGCAGTGAAGCTTTTCCTCTCCCCTTCCTCATCCCATTTAGTCCCCGTGTTCCTGCATGAAGAAGACAGAAACACCCTGCTCAGCTTTCTCCCCACAGTGCTAGCTTCGTGCCCGCCCACAGTGCTTATATAGGAACAGGATGGGTGCAAGAGAGGGACAAAAGCCCTTTAGCTAGAGAAGAGAAGTGCCTTCTCAGGCCATTGGAGACAGCCACCTCTGAGGCCCAGCCTCCTTGCATAGCCAGGTCCCAGTCACTCGTGCAGGTCCTGACACATGCACACTGTCACTCTCCCTCATCAGAAGCTCTCCAGCTGAGGAGCAGCTCTGCTACTTCCTGGGGCTTTAACCCCATTTTCTTGGGAAGCTGGCCGAAGCGAGGAACACTTTCGCTTTCTGAGCCTCGCTCAGGGCACAGCCTCTCCCATGAGTTTCTGGGGCCCCTGGCCAGCCCAGCTCACATAAACCAGGGCCCAGTGTCCTGGCACTCACTCCCCGGGAGCCGCCCTTCCAGGGGCTAGAGCAGCTGTCCTCTGACGCCGTTCGGAGCACCTCAGCGGCATCCAGCAAGCAGGTCCGGAGGTGCCTGCAGTCGGGGTTGGGGACTCCAGCCTGGCACAAACAGTTAGTAACCTGAGCAAAACTGGCAGTGAGTCATCAGCCAGGCAGCTGAGGGATTCAGGAGAGACTTTGTGGCCTTAAGCAGGTTCATGAAATTTAAAAAAAAAAAATGAGAGAGGAAATTAAAACTGCATGACCCATGGGTCAAAAAATAGGGATGCCCTTCTTGAGCAGAAGGATTTCATGTTCCTTCCCCTACTGCCAGCAAAAGGGATTCTTCTGGGCTTCATGGACCACAGTAAATGTGTAGTTAATTTTTTTTTAAAGCTCTGCCTCGAAGTTCAAGGCCAGCAAGTAAAGCAGATAGTGTGGAAGTTAACCGGTTTCCCTCTGCCGTTGTTGAGAATCATGTCTCACATTTTAGAACTGCAGATAAAGCGTCGGCCTGGTGGTGCAGCCCGGGGCCTTCACAGGGCAGCCGAGCAGCCCCCATGCCAGCGAGCCTGCTGCCCAGAGAGAGCCAGGGAAATACAGTGCGAGGCTGGATGAGAATTTCCAGCAGATCGCCCTTGGCCCATGGCAGCCTCTCAGTCTCTCTCTCCCTCTTCCCCCAACCCCACTTCTGTGGGTGACTCATAAGATAGGGTGATATCCAGTGTTTGCCCTGTTAGGCACCAGAGATGACCAGCCCCTGTAGTGCCTTCCAGGAGACACTAGGTTTAGTGTAGCCATGGGGACTGCTGGCCTCTTACCAAGGTATGAATGGAGCATGCTCTCATGGCCCCTGACCCCGAAGCCCAGTATACAGCATGCCTCACTCTTCTGCAGGGTTAGCTAGTGACGTGCTGGTAAATGTTTAACACCCAGCTCTCAAAAGGGAAGCAGGAAAGCCCTGGTTGGTAGCATTTGGGGATTTCTGTCATGGAAAAACTCATTATGGCTGATTTTAAGCTATCAACATGATGTCAGTCATCTAGCAGAATTCCTGAGAAAGTGACATCAGCTTATCGACTTATTAATTACTCCAGCACCCCCCTGGTAAGCTGTTCTATGGTGCAACTCAGCCCTCCCCGCCAGTGCAGCAAAGCCTTTCCAAACCGTACTGTTCAGAGCGGTCTGTGACCCAGCAGCTCCATCCAGGCCCGATTGCTGATGACAAATGCAGAATTTCAGACCCCACGTGGCCCCACGGAATCCGCACCTAAATTTAACAAAACCTTTATGCATGTTCAAGTTTGAGAAGGTCTGTGTTAAAGCCTGGTGAGCCTGTGAGGCAGGTGTCAGTTCTGGGCTCCCCGATGGCTGCTGACCACTTAGTCTAATCAGATCACATGTGTGTGACTTGCAAGTCCGGCTCTAAAACAACCGGCCCGATTGCTTTCCTGCTAATATCATCACACCCCTCGCCCCTGTTCATGCTTCCATTGTCCCCACACAGCAAAATTCCAAATGGAGGTCAGTCTAACTGCTCTTACGCTTAGGTTGCTGGAGAAAAATCACAAATTGTTCAGATTGGTGCTCCTACGAATGTATGGTCTCCACTCTCCAGCGAGCCCTCGCAGTCCTCTGTTCCTTCTGCATTTTCCTACCACCCTCTTCTAGTCTCAGTTTCCACTCATCTTCCGCACAGAAACCAGTGCCCAGAACAGTGTCAGGCACGCCGTGGCTGTGCGGTAACTACCGAAGGAATGAATTCTACAGTCAACCTAGACGTTAGTCTTCCGGTTACAGCCCCTGCTTACTGCTGTGGCTCGTGGTCTGTTTTCACTCCCTTCGAGATTCCCCAGCTCTCTGGGCCTCTAAGAGTTTGGCTATTCTTTTTGATTTTTTTTTTCTTCGTATTATTGTCACTCTCAGAAGACGGCTCGGTGGTGGTCGTCATTTGAGAAACCTCTTGACTTCCTGCACTCAGACCCTAAACATTCCTGCAACAACCTTCCCCCGCCTCCTGTCCCTGCCCCCAGACCACCCAACCACCGCAGCCACTCACCAGTTTCCCTCAACACTGTCAACGAAGCCGCTTCACGCCAAGCCTGGCCCTGTGACCCACACTCCGTGACCTTGACCTTGACCTTGCTTCACCAACACTCCGCTGGCTTGATTTCTGCCTGCGGCCGCTTCTCAGTCCCTGCCCTGAGTTTTCCTTGTCTGTCGGCCTTACGTGTATTTCTCAAGGCCCTGCCTTGGTCCTCTTTCTACCCCTCAGCACAGGGCAATCCCCTCCGCTACCGTGGCCACAGACACCATCCACACGCTGACCACTTCCAAACAGCCTCCTGGTTGGCTTTCTCTCCCCAGCTCCAGAACCATCTGGACAGTCACCTGCTGACATCTCCACATCTCCACAGACTGAAGTCCTCTCCCCCATGCCCTGTCCTCCCGGGCTCCCCCCCATCTCACTGTGTCCAAAGCGCCTCGTGACCAGCCGCTGCCCTGTCCCCAGACTCCTGTCTTGCTGCTCCGTCCCTGCGGCTCCAGCCCTGCCAAACCCCCCGCCCGCCGGCCAGGCCTCTGCACATGCTTCTCCCTCCGCCCGGAACGCCGTCTCCCGCAGCCCCCCCGTCTCTCCATCACCCCCCCTCAAAATAACTTGACTAATTCCTGCTTAGCAGACATTCCTTTCAAAATTGCCTTTTCTAGAAAAGTAGAATTTTTGAAATAAGCAAAACAGTTACTTTTTCCAGTTGTTCTGTGTCTAGGGAAAGATATAACCTAATACCAAAAAAATGTTTTAATAAACACCTGGATACATACTAAGTACCTTTTCTCTTTAGGCTTCAATTCTTTCCATCACTGTTGAGCTAAAGTTTGTCTCTGTCTTTTGCTTTTTCTCACATCCAACCGTGAAAGCCCCAGGCCTCATTCCCAGGCCCCGGTCAGCTGTTTCAAGGATTCTCGACACATCTCTGTTGCTGGAGCCTCCTTTTGCTGTGTTGACTCTTAAGAGCTCACTAAGTCAGGTCTCAAGGTCAAGGGGGACTGTCTCTTCCCCATGACTGCAGCTTCCTGCAGTCCTGGGAACACTGTCTCATTCCCCTTTACCATCCACCCTGAAGGGAGAAAGCCTTCATCTTTCCTGTCTGCCGTCTCTTCAACAGGCTCTTCTAGTCCAGAAGCAGTTACTCTTGGAGATCACACCATGGGCTCAGTCTCCACCTCTTACCTTCTATCAGAAATACACTTATTTCTTTACCCAAATATATGAAACTTTCACAAAACACTATTATGAGCAACGCATTCTAGTGCTTTCTATTTTATTTCTTTTTTTTTTTTTAAACACAGTCACAACCCGCTAACTTGATTTCACAATACATCGGTGAATCGCTGTCTACAGTTGGGAAGCCAGTACTCTAGTTTATTCTGCACAGTCCTCTGAGTTTTCCTATATGTGGATTAATTCCTCAGCAGAAAAGGCCATGAGAGTCTTTTCAACTAAAGCTCTTCCAAAGTTTTATCAGAAACACCTTTTACTTATTGAAAGGACTGTGGATTTTTTCCTTCTTAACAGTAAAAGTGCATTTTGAACATTAGTTGCAGTTTTTAAGTGGTCAAGATTTCAATGAGTTAGTTAACAAATATCTGTTGATTGCCTTTGGTCTGCAAAAGATGAGCTGAAAGCACTGCATGTGTGTGCGCACGCGTGTGTGTGTGTGTGTGTGTGTGTGTGTGTGTGTGTGTGTGTGTGTACACGTGTGCATGCTAATACCATCTTCCATTTCAGGACTATAGGAATTAAGCTCTCAACAAGTGTTAGCTATCGTTTCAGGGTTGACCAGATGTGCACCCAGTGTGTGGACCCTCTTTCCTACCTCTAGGACTAGCTCTTCCAGTGGGCCTCCTGCTTGCCCTGCTGCTGAGGGCTGGGGCATTTTCATGTTATATTTGCCCCCTCCCATCGCAAGGTGCCCCATGACCAGGTGACAATTGCAGGCATCAGGGCAATGAATTAATTCTCTTATCTTTTAGACATCCCCACTCTCAGGCCAACACTGTCACCCAAACAACTTAGTCCCTTAGGTCCTTTCCTCTGCTTCACCTCATTGGGCCCTGGAATTCTCCTTCTACGGTCCCTCTACAAAGTGCTTCCAGCATCTTCTCTCAGTGGCGTCCTCGGTGGGCCCACACATCCTGTCTGGCTGCAGCAGCAGGCAGGCTGTCTGTAGGCACCTCTGATTCCCCACACACTAGGCTGAACATCTGAGGAAGAAGTGAGATGTGGTTCCCACCCTCAAAGAGATTAAAACCCTAGAGGAGGCGGCAGTGCTGGACTTGGGGTCTGTTCCTCCCTGGCTCCTGTCGCCGCCGCCCGCTGGGGCCCACCTAGCTGAGCTGGACAAGCAGAACGCCAGATTGGTCCCCTGCCTGTACCCCATGCTCTTTCCAGGACTTGAGACAAAAGTACAAACTCCCCAGTAACAGATGCCATGATGGCTGAGGGTGGGGAGAAGAAAGTAAGCCCCAGAAGCACAGGAGCACCCAGCCAGCCAGCCCAGTGCCACCCGCAGGCCACAGCACCCTGCTCGGGCGGAAGGGAGCAGCTGCTCCTGGGGGGTGATGGGTGGCATTGTTGGTGTTGCTATTTGTGTCTCAGTTCAGTGTCAGATTGCCTGTTCCTAGCTACCCTCCGCTGGTAGGAAAGGCCGGATCTGAGAGTCTTGCGGCTCCCAGCACCCAGCGACTGCCACTGAGAATGTCTTGTTCTGTTTGTCTTTTCCGCAGCGTTTAGAAGTCCACACCAGGATACCGGGGAAGCCTGTGACCTTGGGCAGGTTCCTTTCCCTTCCTTGGCTCAATTTCTTCTCTAACACCATGGGACAGGGAAACCAGTACATCTAGTAAATGTTTACCTACTACCCCTATTCTGTCCTGGCCACCATACCACTGGCCCGTATATCTCAAGTCTATTACAGGCCTTCCTCACCTTCCTTTCCAACCTGGTCTCCCACTTCCCCTTCCACAATAACCCTTATTCATATTTCACCATCACCACCTTCACGCAATGTACTCGGCTGTCACAATGATCCCATCGTCCCCAGTGCATGCCCTGCTCACCTGGCTCTGTCAGAGTACCTGCTCCCTCCCCCTCTGCTCAGGCACCTTTTTAGATCAAACTCAAATCTCCAATCTCCTCTGTGAAGCTCTCTCGGACCCTGCAGCCGAGCTTCCGCACCACCTACTCTGGACACTTGGTCCCGGACAAATGGCATAGACTGCCTTGTCCACTAACTAGCAACGGCTGATTCCCTTCTGTGTGCCACTGGGGGAGGCTCAGCCCCAGTGGTCCCTCGGCGCCCCCTCAGCCATACTGTGGGTCTCACTTAACCCCATTCCAGTTCCTTGGACCAAGTCTGATTCATCTTTCTTACCTCTAACCACCAGCCTCCTCCCTGCCCAGCATCCAGCTCTGGGAGGAGAGCCAAGCTGAACTCCAGTTAATGTTTGTTGAATGACTGGATGGGGTTTTGTGGCTCCTGAGAGGTAAACGAAAGCCAGCCAGAGCACTGGGAAAAATTACAGTGTTTAAAAGAGACACTTGTTCCTCTCTGGCCCGATCTCAAATCTGATTCCAGGTAAATAGTTTCTCTCCCTCTCTCTCTCTCCCCTTCTTCTTTGCACATTTGGTAGTTGCCCAGAGTCTACTTTGATCTCTTTAACCAAATCTTGCTGATTTCTGTCAACAAGGAAGAAGTGCCCATGTGACTTCATGGGGGAACCTTCAGAGTCCCCTTCCTAGGTGTTGCCCCAACCCAGAAGCAGGAATTCCTGTGGAAAAATGTATGGGCTTGGACAAGGGTGGGGAAAGGCGGTGGGGCCCACAGATAAGGGCCCTCCTCTGGAGGTATTGACATAGGTAAATGGTTAACAAAAGGGAGGATTTCTCTCTGTTCCTCCTCTTCAGTCAGAGAATTCACCTTTAACCACTGACCTTTCGGTGAGGTGTGAGATCCGAACAAAGTTGAGCACCAGTCATGGATGGTTAAATGCCCATCGTTCATTTCTGCCCCTGCCCCTGCCCCCTGCCTCCTCAGAAGACGGTCTGAGGTATGCAGACCACCCCCTAGGTTTGGTGGCTGGTAACAGAGGAAGACATACATACACACAGAAAACAAAAGTGAGAAATAACCCTCTGACCCGTTAGGAATCCAGAGCCTCAGCTTTAAAGCAAAGAGAGTGCTGTACAGAGAAGGCCAAGCCATGCCAATCCGGTCGAATCAAACAGAAGGAGGCATGTCCCAGCACCCATAGCAGAATCAGTTGTCCAACGTCTGATCTTTGGTGATTTCTTCCTGCCCACTTTCTTTCTACCCTAGCCCTGCCCCCAGCGACCTGCAGGCCCATTGCATAAGACACCTTTAAATTTACGGGCAGAATCCCCTAACACCAGGCTTCACAGTCATCCCCCGACTTCCTCCACCCCACATATGTTTTATTTCACGTAGCTCGATAGCTTGCGATTCCACCCCTCCATGAGCTTAATTGAATTTGGAGAGAACCGACATCCAGTTGCTTCATTTGTTTAGGATGACTTTTTCCATTCTGGGCCCCCCGCGCTCATTTTACTGGCATGTTCCCACCCTCTCCAGGCTCCAGTTGGCCAGGACCGGCGTGACATCTCCACTTTGATGTGTGTGACTGGTGCAGGCCTTCAGGGTAGCGGGGGGGAAGCTAAGCCTACCAGCGCCTCCGCCTCCATCTGGGCATGGGCTGGGTTCTTGGAAGGCTTGGAGAGTCTTTGGTTTCATACTTTATTCGTCCCCTGAGCCACTAAGAGCTGAGTATGAGCATACAGTTCATGCATTTGAGCACGTCTCCATGATCTTCGTCTAAGCAGCCCAGCCTGACTGCCAAGCAGCTTTGAACTTCAGGCCTGGTTTCGACAACATCCAAAAGGAGGCGGAAAACCTGAGGGGCTACCCAAGATGGGCAGCTCCACCTCCACACCCCTCGCTGCTCCCAGCCCTGTGAGGCAGGCGGGACTGTAGGCACTCAGGAGGCAGGAGTGGGAGAAGCCACAGAGGGAAGGGCGATACCAGCTTAACCCGGTGAGAAATACGGAGAACCTTCAGTGTGCTTGCTGTGCCTTGGGACGGACCATGCACACCCCCTGCAAAGCTCTCAGTGGCCAGACCAGATCTTGATATCCCCTCCCTTTGATCTCGGCTCTCGCTGCTCTCTTAAAGGTCCATGTTGTGATCCTCTTTAAAGACATATTTTATTTCCAATACAGACACAGCCCTTGATGTAGCAGTAGAAACCACCACCCCTGAGAGGCACATGGCTGTGAAGTGTGTGGGTATGTAACTTCCTGTCTCCGCCCACGTGCAAGGTTGTGTCCCTGCTGCTCTTTCGTCCCTCAGGAGCTTCGCCTCCCTACCCCCTGGTGCTGGTGCTTCAGGAGGCCTCGGAGTGAGGGCGAGAGGTCAGGACGCACCTTCTGGCAGTGGGGAGGGACTGGTTTGGGATGGGAGTGGTTGCTGTTCTTCGCCCCACGAGAGTTTCTTTGAGAATCTCCCCCCCCCACTTTTAAGATGGAAGTCAAATTTTCGGACTCTGCTGTGCAGAGCAGAGAGGTCGCTGGGCCCTAATGCATTTACCACTGACTGCCCCTCTTGTAGCGCGTCTATCAGGGAGTAATCTGATTTGTACCTATTCATTTGCAGTCCCTGCAGGAGCCTGGAGCTGGCCCCTGGTATAATTGGTGCTGTCTCTATTCTTACATCATTAGATTAGCCCCGACTCCTGGCCACTTGTTGTCTGCGCTTGTCTGTCCATTTATACAACCTAATGTAACACAAAATTCATTACTGATCACATTACTTTCAACTCTGAAGCCAGCCTTGTGATAAACATTTGGTTAACCCCTTCCCAGCCGCGGGAGGGCTGACAGAACAAATGCACTTCCACTCGACAGGCAAATCAATATCTTAATATGCCAAAGTGGAACTGCATTTCTAGATGTGTTACTCCTCCTGCAGGAGCAGGTGGAAAGGCTCTTCCGAGCGAGTGGAATTGAATAAGGAATAGAGGCCCGGCACCAGCAGCCAGTCTGCAAACGGGGCACAAAGGCTCACCCGGCTCCGCCTGGCTTCTCATCTGGGCAGGTGGCACCGCGGCCATGAACAGAGGCCTGTGCTTCTCTGCACGCCGCCGAGCGTGGGTTCAAGGGCACAGGCTGGGACCCCGACGGGGGCCGCGGGGACCTTGGCCCCACCGCCGTTCTCTTTGCTAGACTCGGCCCAGGACGACTGGCCCAAGAACAGGGTTCAGTTCCTTAAAACCTGCTTTACTGATACGAGGGTGCCAGGCACACGGGCCTGGCACTAATGCCAACAAGAAACTAAATTAAATCCATGACTAAGCTAAAAAAAAGTCTACCATGTGGAACCAAATGCACAAAATGATTCCTGCCTAGAGCCAGGTCGGTGATGTTGGGGTCGGGTGGTTCACACCAGCTTCTGGGCGTGTGTCTGCTCCCGGGTGAGTCTTCTTCGGCTCAGAAATGCCACGTGCGTCGCCTGAGCGTGGTCGTGGTTCTGTGGCGGGAATGTGGGGGGCTCCGGCAGGGGAGCTGGCCGAGATTCTTAAAGGGACCCCCACGCAGCTCTATTTATTTAATCTAGAAGATTCT